AAAGAAAGAAAGAAAATGTGGTACATATACACAATTGAATACTACTCAGCAGAGAAAAACAATGACAGCATGAAATTTGCAGGCAAATGGATAGAGCTAGAAAATACCATCCTGAGTAAGGTAACCCAAACCCAGAAGGACACACATGGTATGTACTCACTCATAAGTGTTTTATACTAGATATAAAGCAAAGAACAATCAGACTGCAACCCACAGAACCAGGGAGGCTACAGAGCAGGGGGGTCCCTAGGATGACTGTGGCTTATAATAAGTTTTGGTTTTACTCAATCACTGGGCAAGCCTCAGTGAAATATTTCACTATTAGGATAAGAATTTGACCGGGTGGCGGTGGCACACACCTTTAATCCAGCACTGGGGATGTAGAGCCAGGCAGATCTCTGTGAGTTCGAGCCCAGCCTGGTCTACAGAGCAAGATTCAGGACAGGCACCAAAACTACATGGAGAAACCCTGTCTCAAAAAAAAAAAAAAAAAATTTAGCCGGGCGGTGGTAACCACGCCTTTAATCCCAGCACTCGGGAGGCAGAGCTAGGTGGATCTCTGTGAGTTCCAGGTCAGCCTGGTCTACAGAGCAAGATCCAGGACAGGCGCAAAGCTACACAGAGAAACCTGTCTCAGAAAGAAAAAAAAAAAAAAGAATTTGTACTGTATCAAGCTGATAATAGAAAAATAAATAAAAATGAAATAAAAAGAACTGCTTTAGCTGTATGGTAAAATTTGTAGTAAGTTTTGCTTTCATTTTCATTTGACTCAAGGACCTTTTTAATTTCCTCCCAGATTTCCTTAGTGACCTTACTGGTCATCCAAGCATAAATATGTTCAGTCTTTATGTTTGTATGGTTTTTGTAGTTCTTCTTCCAGTGACTTCTAGTTTTATTGTACTATGATCTGACAAAATACAAAAAATTATTTCTTAAAAAAATAAAAAATAAAAATAAATTATGGTGGTAAAGACATGACAAAATAAGAAGGAAGTTGGCTGATCAGTTTCAACCACAACACAGGACACACAAAGAACAGGAAATGGGTTGAAGCTATAGACACTCAAATCCCATCCCAAATGAAGAATTTCATCCAGAAAGTCTCCTCCTACAAAGGTTTCCATAAGTAACCCCAAAGAAAGTCACCAAGAGGAGACAAGTGTTCAAATACATCATCTCTACTGGGAGGTTTTTCAGTCAATCAACTACATTCTGACCCAGGTCAGACTTATGGTCATCTCCCCAAGCTTATGGTCATCATTCCGACCAGACTTGTGGTCATCCCATGATGAAAATGCATTTAGTCTATCTTCAATGATTCTCATAGTCTGCAACAGTCCCTACACTATTCCAATGCCCAAGGTCTCTTCTGACAGTCAATGCAATCTCTTGACCGTGACATCTTGTAAAAATCAGAAAACAAGTTACATCTTTGCAACATACAGAATACCCATTCCCATTCCAAAATATAGGAATGGGGACCTAGTGAGGGAAGACTGGGCCAAGGCAAGACTGAAACCCATCAGGGCAAATACCAAGTCCTGTACCGTTGTGTGAGAAACAGGGGGCTTCAGTAACAAAGGGCTCAGTTGGCCCTGTCTCCGCAATCTTTCATATATCTCTCTCGCTTTGGTTACTTCCACTCCCTATATGCAGCTCTCTGTGGCAGATGTCTCATAGCTTAGGACTCTTAACATCTTGTGGTCTTCATCCTCCTATCTTCATGCAATGAACTCTAACAGTCTATTCATTGGGACTCTGACTTTGCCAAACATACATGCCTGCAACAGTGCTGAACTGAAACCACTGAATAAGAACCCATGACCTTAACTTTTTTGCCTTTCTTGCTTCTACAACAAGCACAACATGGGAGATCCTGCCAAGTTTGGCTTCTAAATTAGGATGGACCCTACTATACTTACTTAGACCACAGTTGCAACAGGTTCTGTATGAACTTGCTTCCTGGGACTAGGAATCACTTTGCCTACTCCATCCATTAATTGAAGGCTTAGCAGGATGGAGTGTTACCTTTAGGGTACCTTGCTAGGCTTCCACTGTAGAGCAAGGGCCTTCCTGCCTCTGTTTCAGCATGTGACTGCCATCTGAAACTACTCTTCTCTACAATCCACAGATTGTTCGTTTATTTCTGTCCCACTTGCTCCTTTTTGGCACTGTAGTCCTGAATGAGTCACCATTAATAACCCTCCAACACTCAATATTCCAGCTAAGAAATCAGCCCATTATAATTTTTTAATTCTGCCTTACTCAATTTCTCATGGCATGAACAGTGTAAGAAAGATTTGGGGCCAAATTATCACAGAATGATCCCTAGTTTAATTTTTCATGGACTCTATTTCCCACTAAAACCCTATGACCTTGAGCTCCTCCATGTGCATTACCCTCAACATTCCCATCCCCCTGGTCCTACAAGAACAGTCAATTAAACTCTATGCACAGCTTTCTATGGATTTTGCCATCTAAAGTCCTGGTATCTCCACATTCCTCCAAAAGACAACATTCTAGGTTCTGCCCAGCAACATAACCAATTTTGTTGTGCCATCTTTTATTCTAACTTGCTTCTCTGCTTCTGTGATTAAACTGTCTAACCAAAAGCATCTCAGGTAATGAATGTTTTTTTTTTTTTTTAACTGATTCTGCCAGATCATACTCCATTGTGGGAGATTAGGATAGGAAATCCAACTAGAAGATGAAGGGGAAAACCACTGGCAAACATTGTTTCCTGGCTTTCTCTCTGCCTTGGTCAGTGTGTCATCCTCAGCCAGCTCCCTTATCCAGGACAGGCCCACTTGCTTAGTGATATTGCTACCCTCAGTGGAAGAGCCTCCCCCGACATCCATCATCCATCAACACAATCTCTCACAGACGTAGCAACCGATCATTTTGATGGGGCCACACCCTCAAGTGAGGCTCACTCAGATGACTACAGAACCTGAAATGTTGACAACTGAACCTAATTAGGACATATAACAATAATATATGAGACAGTTTTAAAAACTCAAAACCAATATGTTAACCATATCATCATTTAAAGTAGCAAAAACCCAAACTTTGATGACTGCAACACCTGGAAAAAATAGATGTGCCAAGAAATGAGGAGAGAAGAGCCTTTAGCATCAAGAAGAAAAAACTAAAACTGTTTCTCCATAGAAAGTCCCCAAACCAACAAA